CCAAAGGCTCTCATCTCAGCTCTGTGACCTACCAGAGTCAGAACAGTTAGCGCAAGCTTTCCTCCACACTGACATCACTGTATGTTGCTGTCTAGACACCTGTATTTTAGGGTTTCCTTTAAATTGGCTTGGTCTTATAACCTCTTCTTTTGCATTTTTGCAACCTTTCTCTAAATGTTTCCACACCTTGAAATTTCCTCCAATGTCTGTTTCCTGTTTCTTGGATTTTGCTTCTTACTCCATACTGTTTCCTCTCTCTTTTCTCCCTCTGTCTCATCAACCCCCTCCGAGTGAAATTTATTCACTCGGAGCTGTTCACCCTTTCTGACTAAACTTTATCAAATTAGTTAGAACTTAAAAAAAGGAAAAACTTAAAAAAACAAATACAGACTTTGTCATTCATTTATTTTTCTTTTATATTGTTATTAGAGAAGAAAATAAAGGATGGGACAGTTATCCTTCTGAATCAGAATCACATGTATAAAGCAGATGTTTTGTGGTTAAAAAAAATGTGAATTTCCTCTGTCTCCTCCAGTTTGCATCCATTTTCTACACTATAAAATTTCCTCCCTGGATGGTAGTACTGTATCACCTCGACGTGTCATCTTTCTTATTGTCCTTTCAGCAAAGTGTCTGTGTTTATGTTTTGCACACACGACAACAAGATTATGGTGAAAACTCAAGCAGGAAATTAGATAACAAAAGTAGGATAAGCTAAAATCCCAAGCATCCTTGTATTCAATTTTTCAGTAATCTGATTTGTTTTGCCACTTCTTACCATGTTCTGTATCAGTGCTGACAAATATTATCTAACAGTGACTTATGAGAGGAACTTCAATTGCCACCTTCATCGAGCTAAGTTACGAGGCTGTTTAACAACCCCCTCTCCCACCGCAATGGCATCTGCAAAAAGCTTACAGCACAGGGATGTGGATATGGGGATCAGTGATAATCTTTGCTCTCCTAGCCTGGGAAAACTGATTATTTTAAAAATAATAATAATATTATAATAATTATTATAAATAATTATTGAAAACAAAAATAAATAAATGACATGAAAATATGGTATAAGCCTAAAGAAGTAGATGGAATGAATTAGTATTAAATCTCTAAAATGTATCATTGCATTTCTCTTAAGTTCAGATTTCTAAAACGAGTTCAATTATAAAAACTAATTTCAATAGCTTAACTTTTAACAGTTGCTACCCTGCATTTTAAATGTCTGCAACAACATTTTAAAGTTATAGCAGACTAAAATTATAAAGCTTTTAATTTTATTTTTGCAAATAAAATAAAATTAAATAGGAGCTGAAACCCCAGATTATAGTCTGGGGTTTCTTGGAGAGCTCAAATGCTGACGGTGACTTAAATAAAAGCTTCAGATATCTTCAGATAATCTTATTGAGATTTCAACAGTGGAACTTACAAATTGGATGTTCTGTATATTGTTAAGTCTTTTACTGGGTCTCGAAGCCTCATTCACTGTCAGGTCACTCAGCTGGGTAGTGAAGCCTGTAGCAGTTTAGTGTAAACATGACATCTGAGGTGTAGGAGAATTTACAAAATGCTTCAACTCTCATCACTTGACTTGATTTACAGCACCCTGCAAAAGCATTCACATCTCTTGAACTTCTTCTCATTTTTATCATGTTTGCAGTTTTATCACGAGCTTTAAATAATTTCATAAAGATCTAATGTGATTGACCAATGCAAACTAGAGTGTCATTTTGAAGTATTCTAATTTCTGTCTTAATAGACATAAATAAGACATTTTTCTGTCTTATTTTAAATAAGACAGAAAAATCTATAACGATTATCACTGAAGTAATCTAAAATTCACTAAAGTAAAACTAAATAGAAACTGACCAATGAAAATCAGACATTGTTTTTTTAAATGGGATTTAACAAAATTGTGAAAAAAAAAAATAAATTATTAAAAAAAACTAATAAAGCAAGTGTGTGTAATGGGTGCACAAGAAAGATTAGAGAAAATAATTATATCTTGATAGTTGTAATAGGATAATTTAGATCTCATTCATGTAGCTGAATTTGGTGTTGCTTTGTCAATAAATCACATACATTGAAGTCTGGGACTAAAGCTTGATAAAATGTTTGAAGATGTAAGGGAATATTAATAATGAAAGTGGGTTACATAAATAAAGTTTAAGAATTTATACAAGAAGGTGTTGAAACAGACATTAATAATATATTTATTTCCCTAACAAGTAAGACAATACAAAGTCTCACATTTTAATGTCTTTCAACTAGATTTTTTAAAATAAATAATTAATAAAAAATCTTTTTCTGTAACAGCACCATAAAAACAGGTTTTTGATGTGAATCCATTTTTCTTGACATGTTTCTTTTAAACAATTAACCTTGCAAGAATTATAAGCTTTATAATTCCAACAAAACTAGACACAAACAAGACTGAAAACCTCAGAAAAGTCTCATTTACTGTGAGGAAAAGCACTCTTAGGAAGCCGCTGTGAGTGCAAGCCATTCATGTCTCCTTTGTCATGTGGTTGCACAACAAGGTCAGAGGACATTTTCCATTCTGAGACTCCATATTTTATTAATCATACAGCTAAGCGAATGGCAGAGGGTGAGAAGCAGCGTGACAGAAAAGCAAGAAAGGGTGGACATTTTACTATAAAGGTGAGACGGAAAGAAAAGTAAAGGACAAAGGAGAGTGAAGCCCCCACAGAGCGGGAAATAGTTCATGCCATAGAAACAAAACAGTAGGAAAAATGAAACAGAAATGCTTATAATAAAGGCACATAATATTATTGTTGTTTGAGCACATGTGTTTCTGCCCCTGGGGCTATCTGCCTTTTCTGCAGATGCTAACACATAAGAGTGCAATTGCATATTGCCAGCCCATTATATACATTTGCACAGCTAACCCTGATGTCCTCCTGTTTTCACATCTGGAATTAATCACACCACATCTGTGGTCCTTCAAAACTACCTTCAGCTCTGTGCAACAAAAATGGACTGACTACAACACTTCCTACAAACTCTTACAGGAAAACGTAAAGAATAAATTATAGTAAACTGAGACATACAAAGACATGCATACACAGTGATTATATATTTAATTTGGTATGTTAGTTTGTGTATGAAATGCATTTGCAAGGTTCACCAGCTGCAACAAAATTACACCTGGCTTTGCCTCATATTCATGTTTGAATATTACATCCAGCAGTTGTTCTGAGGTGAAGTTTAAGAATATGGAGCCAGTTGTCCTTCATTATCATATGCTCCATAGCCACTGCTGCAGTCAGTGTTACTCTTACTCTAAATTAACACAAATTTTATGCTTGTAATGACTGTTAGTACATTTACGAGTGCAACTGTATATTTGAGTTCAACATCCCAACTAACTTGTGCATGATCATGCAGTACTTTGCAAACTTACACTAAGCTGCACAGAAAAGGACTGTGCTATTCTCAGACTCTTCTGCTTTTGAAGCGGCACAAGTGTATTCTCCCTACAGCAGGTCTTAACCTTTGCAACAGCTTAAAGAAAACCTGTGCTCAAAAAAGACAAAAGGCTCGGTGTGCCTGGAAGCTTGGTGAACTGAACAGACTTCAGAGAAAAAGGCCTGTGCTCAGTAGGTGTCAGTAAAGACTCATCTGGATATAAGGTATTTAACCATGGCAGTACTACAAAAATCAATGGCAACATTTGTGTTCTTTCATTACATGTGAGCTGAAAGTGATGAGGCCTTGTAACTGGAGCCAACAAAATGATTAATAAAATAAAATAATAATAACAAAAAACATTTGCAAAAGCTTAGCACACAGTCACAATTATGATATCTCTCTTAATTGTAAACAACAATAAGCAGCAGCATGTAATAGTTCAACAATCATACAAGTGCTTTACATAGCAAAAAACACTAAATTACAAAGTTAAGTTATCTTCCATAAAAAGAGTGGTTCCTAATTAAATGCAAAAAATTAATGAAAGAGTCAGGCTCAAGATCCCTTGAATAATAAAAATAAAAGCTGACACTCTGCATAATTATAGCTATGAGATGTGTCAGGGGTCACTGCCCACATAAACGTAAAGCTACACACACATGCATTGTTATTTTCTGAATCAAGTTGTATTAGTACTCCTTGAGGACACAAACAATAATGCTAAAAATCTGGGCAGCCACAGTAGTCAGCCTTTAAACAAAGTCAAAGCTCTGTTCATCTGCTTTAGCACCAATAAAGGGTCTCTTTACACGGATATAAAATGCTTCATAAAGACCCAAAGAACCAGAAAATGCAGGAAACAGTCATTGTCTATCCTGAATAGTTCCTGTAATTTAAACCAATGTTGGGCCACGGAGCTTTTCATTGGGGTTTTGAATTGCATTAGAGAAAACTGGGTTTAAAAAGTCTCTTAAGGTCCATTAGTGTAATAGTTCAGCAGTCTGTTTAACCGTTGATTTAGTTAATAAAAACAAACCAAAAAAATGAATACTGTTTTCATTCTGGGTATGTTTCCCTTTTTCAGTCATCTTTAGTCCATTCACATCAACTAAAATACTTAAATTTTGAAAAAAAAAAGTTCAATTTAAATCTTTAAACCCCAGAGCATATCCATCGTCAAAGCTCCTCCTCCCAGTTTCACTCTAATACCTCCACTCCACTGCATAAATGTATCATTACAGTATCATTATGGCAACAGTATCCCCCAGCTTCCATTAACAGGGACTTAGGTACTGTGTGCTGTGGCTTACATAGACCCATTATATTATTAAGTCATTATAAACCAGGACACAGAGAAAATTATGCCTTTAATGGGAGCTACATTGGGAACTACTTAGGTTTATGCCCCCAACCCACCTACTTTTGTGCCTATTTTCCTGTGCCTGTGGATCTGAGTGCCCACGGTGTTAAGTTACGTATCAGACTATCAAGTTACTTCACCCTGAACAAAAGGTAGTTATATATCAAACCTTTACTCCAAATAAGCTAAGTGTAGTCAGCTGCCTTCTTACCCCAGAGTTAGGATATGCCGTCCAGCCCAGTTCTGCTGTGGCCACCCGAGTGTCCATCAAAGTTTCTGCAGCAAAGACAGAAAAATGGAGAGAAAAACAGTAGTTAGCCTCAAAAACCTATTTTTAGTACCCCTCAACGGAGATGACTTGAATTCAAGGCCCAGTGATCACTTGACACTATCATCTATGAACAGAGCAGAGACGAAACCCCACAGTGATTCATCCATCTCTGCCTCACTTCTGTTAAGACAAGAAACATGGAAACAAATCCTTGGCACTTTGCTGGGAGGGATGCCTGAGAGCTTCTGTCATGCTGTTAAATGCTCAGCTTTGTATTGTGTTCTCTATGTGAGCACAACAACAATATGCATATCCCGCCTTTGTTTGCATGCACATGCATGCATGTATTTGAGTGATTTGCAGTCACTTCTGGTGAAGTGGGTGGATTTTATTTGTACTTTTGGGTGGGAAAAGGCTGTACAGCTTTGCACACCATTAATCTAGGGAAAAATCACTTCTAAAATGCAGACAAAGTATTACATCCCTGTTCTGGAAAATGCTCACCAATTCAGTAGGTCAGAGGTTCACGCTTTCAACTGAGTGAGATGAAAGCATATCAATTTCCTAGCTCTTTGGTGAAACTTAAACAGACATTTCACATTTCACAGACATTTCAATCGATTCAACATTTCCCCCCCCCCCCAAAAAAAATACAAAAGTTATACAAAAAAAAAAAAAGTATTTTAGACATCAAATCTCTTGCGTAAAAGCAATGCTCACTATGACATGTTTATACAGAAAAAAGAAAAACTAAGACTGGCAGCTGGCACAAAGAAACCAATCTTACCAGTTTTTATCAGTCTGATAAGACTGATAAAAAAGGCTGTACAGCTTTTTTCTGATAAGACTGATAAAAACTGGTAAGACAATAAGAGAATCAAAGCTATGTTGCCATTTTAAAGGAAGACTTCCCCTGTAACAGACTGTTTATTCCATGCTCTAAATGATTCACCTCATAAACTGAAGGAACATTTCACATTTTAAATGCTTCATGCCAGAACATGCCCCTGATTGTGTTTATTTCCCAAACAGATAAAACTCATTTGCTGAAGGAGGAATGGTGTGTCTGGGTGATGCTCTGTAGCAGATAAGAAAGGTGCTTCGGGAATTTTCAGAGGAATTGTTTTTGCCTTGGACACCTTCCACTGCCTCAGCAATGGTTGTCCAATCCAAACAAGGATCGCAGTCTGATGAAATCCTCCCTCTTAAATTTTAAATAAGACAATCCAACTTTCTTTACTTCACACATAGCCATTTGACTTGTTTTGATTTTTATTTATTGTGCATTTACTTTTTGCCTCAAACCAAATAACATAAGAGGGGGAATTAGGGAGGTCTCAACCTGATCAAGATCGGAAATTGGGTCAAATCACATGGTTTCAGACTTGGTTGGAATCTGGGATCACATCCCGATCATGGATTATTTCAAAGTATCTACAATTACGTAGTGGACTGTCTACTGTCTAGTGGACTGCCTACAGTTTTATGCCCAGCACATTGCATAAAATTAAGCAAAAATGGCATCAGCATCAAGTTGGAACACAGTTGCCATTTTTGCAACATTGTAAGTATATTTGGGGAGGTTATAAATCTAGACACATACTCTGGTTTATTGGAAACATTGTGGAAAAATGGGAAAGCAATGACTGCAGTTGCAGCAGGCAAGTGAGAGGTGCCGTGAGCCCCTCCCATATCAGAAACAGTTTGCAAGCGCGTCATGCAGCAGCCTGCAGTAGAGCACAGAGAGTACCCAGTCCATTCTGCTTCCCCATTGCAATAGAATCACACATGCACAAAGCCGCCGGTGAGTCCACTCTGGATTAAATACAATGTAAATGTAGTTTATCATGTTGCCCAATGTATTTTTATTTTTTTAATCTTTTATCAAAACTGACACACCCAAAATACTCAAAACTTGATTTGCACAGTCTTAAGTTTTATATTAAATGATAAATAAGGTGGATGAAATAAAAAAGAAAATAAGGAACATCCTAGACCACTTAATTTTATTTATTTTATTTATTAAAGACCTTTACAAATCTCTTCTGAAGTATTAGCTTTTTTGTAGGACTGTTTTAGAATTGGTATTATTTAAAGAAATAACAATCTACCTATCCATCGCTCTCCCATGCTGTGACATGCTTTCAGACTGTGAGAGGAAGCCAAAGCACCTAGAGAGAACTCACACACGCATAGGCTGAGCATTCAAGCCACATGCTAAAAGACCCCAGGCTGGGATTTGCACCTGGAGCCTTCTTTCTGTAAGATAAGAGTGCTGGCAACACATACATAGTGACTATCAAAAAGTATTGTTTACATGAAAAATGGAAGGAGAGACTGGCAATAAAATACTTTTAACACTGTTTTTAATTTTAGTTTCTCAAACAAAAATCCTCATGGTAAGGTCAGCGCATCATAAAAATTGTGTGATTGGAAATCAGTCACTGATGTTGCCAATAAAATCTAGATTAAAAGACACTGTCAAAGAAAAAAAAACATTTTAATGTAAATTTGCCCCACTTACATGTAGATGAAGTCCACATGCATTAACTAGTTAGGTAAGATACATCAGATACACATTAAAATACTATTATATGCAACAATAGAACGCAGACTAATTCATAAGTAGACTTTACCTGCAGCAGTCAAGACTGTGAGCAATTTTCTGTGTATACCTACCGGGACAGTCTTGTTCACACTGAGCTTTTTGTCTCAGTGTTTCAATTTCCTTAAAATCAGCCTTTTGCTGTCTAGTTTTCACAGTCAGCCCGCTCCAGCCTGCCTGTTTTTAAGACTTGTTGTCAGCTGGGGAGATAGGACCATGAAACAGCTCCCTGTGCCAGAGAGCATACTGGGGACTGCCAGCCCTTTCTCAGGGGAAATCACAGAAGCTTTAGTCTAATCACACGGACACTTGGTAGGCCATTTTCCATTTCCTTTAAAACACAGAAGAAAGGGGGGACGAAGTAAAAAAACAATCTGGGTAGGGGACAAAAAAGGTCAGAGGCCTCATGGGAAGGCCGGATGAGCACTGTCACCTGATCTAATGTCCACCATTAGCAGAATATCAAAGTAGCACATGAGTAAATGGAGTGTACTAAGTGGTGATTAGCAATGAGGTTTGACTCAAGCAGCGGTCATGCCACATCTCTAACACCTGTCCACAGGCATAGGGGATTTGAAAAATGTCCATTGTATGTGTTTTAAATCAGCTGTCTTGTTCATCTTTTTTTTTTTTTTTTTGTGAAGTGAATGTGAACACTAACAAAATCAATGTAATTTAATCGAGCATGCATACTATAAATAATTACTGTTTTAAATACAGTAATATTATTTTAAGTATTTGTCAATAATATTTTTTAGTAAACATTTTTCTGCGTTGTATTATTCTTCTTATTATGTGCACAAAGGCAATCTAAATAGCACATATTTTTTATCCGGTGATGAATAACTATTTTGAAAAGCAAGACATGCAGCTCAAAGTTATACCTTCAAGTATTGTGTGTGTATATATATATATATATATATATATATATATATATATATATATATATATATATATATATATATATAATATATATATAATATATATATATATATATACTAAAAGCAAGTAAACAAGAACTTGCTTGAAAAACACCTAAGGCTGGGTTTGAATCCCAGCCTTAGGTGTTTCTGCATGGAGTTTGAATGTTCTGTCTGTGTATGCATGAGTTCTCACAGCTTCCTCACACAGTCCAGAAACACATCTGTCAGGTTACTTGATTTCTCTAAGTTGTCCTTATGTATGAGTGAATATATGTCCTGTGAGTCTCTGTGTTGCCCTACAAGGGACAGGGAATCCAGTGTGTACCCCGCCTCTTGTCTGGTGGAGATAAGCACCAGCCCCCGCAACTCTGCAAGAATAAAAGGAGAATCTACAATAGATGGAATAAGGAATGTTACATTATGTCTCTTCATTAATATGCTGTGGCAATAAGAAAACTAAAGAGTGTGAATTAGAAAACATTTAGGAAAGCATATTCAGTCTATGACTCAGCGAGAATTAGGAATGGGAAAGTTTTGGTTTTAAAATTTGTATATATCTATTAGGATTAGGGTCCTAGAATTATTTTTGTATGATTGCTCTGCAACAAAATAAGCAGTTCCTAAAATTTGTGATTCCCACTTGTTTTCAGCAGTCAGTTTAAAGATTATAATTATACAGCCAAGGCCAGCAATTCTGAGTGAGACTTCTAACTAAAAACAGTATCTCATTAAGCATGAGAAAGCAGACAAAATAGAACTCCATTTGTAAGAACAAATTCATTTTAGGTCTTGAACAATTAGCAACAATTTGCAGTTTAAACTAAGTAATTTTTATGTTGTTAATTTATAAATAATTTGGTGGAAAAGGTGAAATAAAACTTTTGCAGTCCCCAGTGTTTCAGGACTTTTTCTCTTTTGTTTATACACTGCTGTGTCAGCGCTATCGGCAAGCACTAGTATATTAAACACAGACAAATCCACTAGCAGTTCAAACTGTGGGAAAACTGCATGCATTAAAAGCCTAATGTTGACTATGTAAATACTGCTCATAAATTCAAAAGAAAAGCAACAGCTCATTGGTCTCAGTGCAAAAGATGTATTATAGCAACATCATAGGCATATTATTTACTCAACGGATGTTAGGGATTCTTTAGCCAAAGGCATCTTCAAAATACACCAAATTATTTTACTCAAAACTCAGAAGTCACAATCAGAGAGAGAAGCCAGGGCCTATAACCCCAGAGAGCGCTGCTCCTTCTTATTAGCAGCAAGTGATAGATCGATACCCAATGGTGAGCTGTTTCCACAGATAGAGAGAGGGGGGCATAGAGAGAAAGAGGAAAAGAAATGAAAGTAAGGGAGAGACTACATTAAACATTGATGGGGCTCTGTGTTACAGATCAATAAGGAAACAGCTTTCTACACGCAATTACACGTCAGCAAGCAGTCGCGTGATACATCACATGAACTTCCATCA